AATACAAACAATCTTAAAGTTAAAAGAAGCTAAGTTAGGTTTCCAGTAACACTTTAACACCATCCTCACAAATGTCTATTTAATTTTTAGTGCTTCCCTGAACTTTCAGACTTAAAAATATAATTAACAGCTGAAGTTCCTAAAAGAACATTTAAAATGTCAGCCAGAATAAGTTCATTCCTTTCCACAATGGAAATCTGTGAAGAGTTGTTCACAACTCCTAGACAAATTAATGATTATTGTTCTAGTAAGTCCAAACAACAATTTGACAGAAATAGGTTTCAGGAAGCTTCCAGTATGATATTTTATCATTAAAAAAGCAAACACTGTTAACAAGTTAATTCTGACTCTTAGCAAGGGTACAGGACGGAGTGTATTTTATTTCCTCACATGGTTTCTAAGCTTTCAATCTTTATAGAATCTTATCACATCAACAGAATGAATAAAACTGTACTTGGTGAACTAAAATGGCTAACAAGAATAAACTAATGTTGGTAAAGAGAATGTTTAGTAAGTATCATCTGGGGTCTTAAAAGCTTGCAAGCTGGGCATTTATATGCAACAATTTGTCTCCTACTCACCGAAAAGGAGAGAATCGGGGTGGAGGGATAGAGAGAATGACACAAGAAAGCAATGAGTCCACAGGACTAATGGTCCAAATGATTCACAGCCTCTCCTAGCTAAAGACCAGAAGAACTAGATGGTGCTTGGCTACCACTATCAATCACTCTGACCAGGTAGACAATAGAAAGTCCTTGTTAGAATAGGAGAAAACGAAAATAAAATTCAAATTCCTAGAAATGCAAGACCTACTAGACTAATACTAGAGATACCCTTTTAATCTGTAACTGAAGTCACTCCCCTTTGAGCTAAATAAGAGATTGGCCTATAAAATAATAAAACCCTAGAGGTATGTGTAACTTAGATCAAGCATGTATTCAAGGTCAAATGAGTACCATTTTGCCCTAAAGCAAAGATCAGAAGGCAAGGAGAACAGGGAAGCTGAAAGATGGGAATGAAGGTGGAAGGGTGGATTTGGGGAGCATGCTGGCTTATTGTGGGGGTAGCAACCAATGTTACAGAACAATCTATATATAAAATGTTGAATGGAAAACTGATTGTGTGAAAGTTCATTAAAAAACCAATTAAATGCTTAAAAATTTTTATGTTGGCTACTTGATACTATAACTAAAAATGAAATCCACAAATTGTCCACCCTGTTCATTAGTACAAATAATTATTAATTGAACAACCTACTTCATTGGCATATCTATTTTAGGAACAGGCTAGTCTAACATGTTCCATTTGTGATTAGAAAGATCATTTGGTATAAACACATAGCTCTTATATTCTTACACAAAACACTGTGTGTACATAATTAAGCTAGCCTGTCTTTGTGGGAGTTCTTAAAATATCCTTTTGGGAAACGAATGTAGCCCTATCCCTCTTGAATGTGTCACTTCTGGTACAGTAATCCATACGATTTTCTGATTCAAAATGGCAATTACCATTCCATTACAGTTAACAACTAGGATATGTATCTTTATGCATTTCATCTTTGATGACTTCCAATTTTCCTAGATTCATACTTCCTACATTCCACATTACAATTGTTAATTGATGTTTGCACGTGTTTTCTTCTCATTTTGAGTTGTGCCCTATCAGCAAATGAAGATTCTGAAGCCTTTACTTTCTTTTCTTTTTTAATTATTTTATTCGGGGATTGTACAATTCTTATCACAATCCATACATCCATCCATTGTTTCAAGCACATATGTACATTTGTTACCCTCATCATTCTCAAAACATTTGCCTTCT